AAAAAAAAAAAAAAAAAAATTATTTTAAGTCAGTACAATCCACCCCTCAATGTCACACTCAAATTCACAACCCCAGATCAAGAAAGGCATGCTCTACAGACTCAGCCAGCCAGGTGCCCTCCACCACCTCAGGGTCCAAAGTTTAACTTGAGGTCCTCATACCCCACATATGATGGAGTGTCCTCAAAGCCAAGGAGTTTTTAAAAGGTGGGAAAAAGAAGAAAGGAAAAATTCCATAATAAACTATTGTGGTAAAGAATTACTTAGATTCATATAAGCTTAAGATTTTTGCTTTTCTTTCCTCCTACCTTAAGTGATTTTTCCGTGTGCTTGAAGTATATTAACAAAAGTTTGTTTTTCCTACTTATAACCACTAGATCATTACTGGGAAATATATACGTATGTACTTGGTCTGGCAATTAATCCTAATCGCATTATCATAAAATGAATACCGAAGAAAATCTTAGTATAGACATTACTTACATGACAATGATATTAGCTGTACTTGAATGTTCCTTTAGTAATTCATTTAACCTTATCTGCCGATAGGTCTGAAAGGAAATAAGACAAAGTCATTCCTAGACCATTGGAAAAGTGGAATCTAGTGTGGTTCATAGAACTATATAGAAGTAAGCAAAAAGAAACCAAAATAATTTTGGTGTAATAAAAGTCTCTGTTCCCTAGTTTAAAAAAGACCTAATGATTTACACACACTGTTCACATACAGATCCAACTTAGAGGAGACTGAATTTACAAAAGTGGTTCCTCCCGTAACAAATTATAGTTGTTGATACTTCTATTTTAACGTATTTTTTAAAAAAATCAATGGAAGATTAATGAAAAGAAAGCAGAAGAGAAATAATACCTTGGTCTTATAAAGTTCAAGCTCATTATCTGTTATTCGCCATGGCTCATCTTCTTTCATTTTATCTGCAATATCTTGTTCTTTGTCATCTTCATGAAGTCTATACGGCTCAATCATTTCATCAAATGCTACAATACTTAAAAAAAAACTGACAATCACAATGTGAATTACTTAACACTAAGATCGTAAATGCTAAATTAGAATTTGAGAAGTCAGTGTTTTCCATCTCTCCTGCTCACTTCCACACCCTAATTATAACCATCTCTTTGGCAACTTATTCAGAAAACAGCCATCTCTAGTTTCTCAAATTGATTAGAGATTCAGAACCATATTCACAATAACAGAATTGTAATTTGAACTGCTAACAATGATCTCTCTGTATCTACTCCCTGCTCCTATGCCCACCGCCCCCCCCTGCCCCGTCAAACTACATACATTTCCATCACCGTAGCTAAAATGATCCTTTTGAGCAATACGTCAAATTGTGTTGTTCCTTTACTCAAAATATTCAAAACCTTTCCTAGTTCAAGTACCACTGAATGAAAGGAGCAGTAGTAGGAGAAAAGGTACTAGAATATTGTGAAGGGAGGAACACACAGATACTTAACATTTAAGAAGATGCACAATTAATCTCTAGATACAAAGATAATTTAACAGGATAAGAGACAGTAAAAGAACATAAACACTCTAATCCCCTATGAATGTGAAAAATATTTTTCAGTATCAAGTTTCGTACAAAGTTCCCGGCATATATTGTCTTATAAAAGGAAACAAATCCTTCCCTGATTATAAGCTTACAAAGTATACCTTATTATTTTCTATTTAAGATAAATTCTTTAAACCAGCTTCATCATTTATTCAACAATTTACTTGAGAATAATTAAAATTATGCCTGGTAACATAAATATACATATTATTCTAACAATCTCTAGGTACCATTTTCAGGTAGATTATTCCATGAGTATACTTTCCCTTGACCCTTGAGAATTCTGATTGCAACTATTATAGGCTAATTTTTGATTCTCCTATTTTACTAATAAGGCAAAACAGTGAAAAGTAATATATAATGTGGAGTAGGAATTGAGTGAGTGGTGGTAATGAATATAGGCATGAACAGTGGAAATTCAAAGAACCATGTGGAATTTCTGTGGCATTAGGATTTTCAGAAATTACTTGTAAAGCACTAACTGAATTCCCTGAAAACTGAAAGCCCTTACACTTACTTTAGTAACAGCTACAGGCATGCCAACGGTCAGTACCAGATTTAAAAAAGTTGACTTCACATGCTAACAGCAGGTAAAACCTCCAGGTAATTAGTTTAAGTTGAATGATCTGTTACTGGAATATGTGAGTAGGTCATCCATAAAAGAATCAGTTATCTATACAGAGTAATTTATCCAAGAACTTACTTTTCTTTCTTTGGTTTAGTATTAATATCTCCTAAGACCATGATATCAGAGAAGTCTATCCGGAATTTACTAAGCAAAGTAGCCATCCTAAAACAAAAATGAAAAGCATTGAGATACATAAAAGCTGCATCTATGTATTTTTATTCCATTTCAGGCTGCATCACTGTATCTGAAAAGCATCATTTATAGGAAAACCGTATCAGGTGCTGAATAAAGTTCATCTGTGTTAGTTCACACCGTACATTCAACTGAGTAGAACTCAAAATTCCCTCAGTAGAGACTCCGGTTATATTCTTTCATTCTCTGAATCGCTCCTTAGTATCCAATCATGAATGGAAAGACAGTAATAATGAAATTTGGAAGGCAACTAGTTTTTAAATTTAATTTTTGTCACAAGGAGTCAGAGATACAGGCTTTCAGTTACAGAATGAACAAGTCACGAAGATGAAAGGTACAGCCTGGGGAATATAGTCAATGGTATTTTCATAGCGCTGTACAGGGACAGATGGTAGCAATCCTGTGGTGAGCATGACATAAAGAGATATGGAATCACTATGTTGCCCGCCTGAAACCAACATAACTATATATGTCAACTGTACTTCAGTTAAAACTTTTTTTAGACAGATTATATTGGTGACTATATGGATTTCCGCAAAAACTAGTAAACAGTTGTTAAGTTTAATTATTTTTCGATTCTTCTTCCATCCAGGAAGAATGCCTATCTCAAGACCCAAACAGGACTTTTGGGGGCCATCAAAAGCTGTAACTAATGGCAGATCAAGTTCACAGCATTTTTGAGGGGGAGGGGGACTGGGACAGACATGAAAAAGAAGCTCCAGCAAGCCTCTGACTTTTCAGTAAAGAAATACCTTTTCAGAGGCATAGATGGCAAGGAAACCTTGGTGGCACCAACAAAAAAGTGGAAAAAAACACAAAGGAAAAGCTGTCAGCACAAGGGGATTCTATTTTTAAGAAAACAGAGTTTTCTAAACTAAGACATTAGAAAACAGACTCGCTCCAGGTTTAACTTTTGAATTATTTCTAGTATTTCTTGCATAATTCACTATGTGAGATGACTCGACATTTAGTTGAATTCCAGTGTAGATCTATTAAGTGCCTGCTATGTGTCACTGGGCCCACGAAACTCAAATCTAAGATACAAAAATAAATTAATACAGTACCTAGAATGCAGCGAGTGATACCAAGTATACCGTTACTGAGGAAGGAAGGGTAACAACTAATGGGGAGACAATGGTATAAAAATAAAACACATTAGGGCAAGTGTCACAAAGAAAGTGACGACAATGCTGGACTTGAAAGTCTGGAGTGTTTCATGAGAGGATCTGTTTACAGTAGAGATGAGAGCAGAGAGGGCTACAAGCCTGAGACAGCATGTGTGTTCAGGGCAGGTGCACCAGTGCGCACCACAGTGAGGGGTAAGACACAGTGTGGAGAACAGGACAGAGCGTTTGGGCTTTGTCATATTTTAGCACAGACTTTCTATGGAATGTAACAGAGAGGAAATTCCAAGTATTTGGGCAGAGGCATCTTATAATTAGAGCTCTACTTTTCAAACATGAACTCAAGAGAAGAGTGTATAGTGTGTGCTGAAAAGGTCAGGGACGAGATGTGGGGTATGTGGCAAATCACTCAACCAGAAATAGAATGGGGACAGTACAGCGGGAGTAAGACAAGGGATGACCGCGGCATCCTTCATTTCTGTTGTCTTCAAGTCTACAGAATGTATCTCACACGGGAATATGTGATTTGGAGGCACATCCACTGATTTTTTACATGCCTAACATTTAAATGCTGCAAATCTTTAACAAAGACTTTCTAAAATGTCAATATATGAAAAAATATTAGGAATCAGTAAAATGAACTATCTACAACTTAAATATAAAGATTAAATTAAAGAGAATGAGGTTTTAGTTGTTTAACAAGATTTTCAGCTTCAGTATAGGACAACCTGACTGACATTTTCTGGACTGTGTCTTTTTTATACTATCAAATATACTGTAATAGTGAACTATGGCTAGATTAATGCTCTTCCATTTAAATACACTTACGCTCTCCGGTCATGGTCTATTCGGTTTATTTTCCCACCAATGAACACTCTGATCTTACAGTCTTTCCACTTTTTCTTGGTAGTCAGAAGGTAAGGTATCAATAAGGTCAAACCTAAATCATAAAAATATAAAAAATCATTCACGAAATGCTAATTTCTCAATTAAGACCTTTTAATTCAATTTAATCTCTAAAAGAATGTCTGCTACAACTCTGCATTAAACAATATTTTTCTATCTGTTCTTCCTTAATAATTCAGACAGAAAGCCATGAGGTAGGCCTGAACAAGGAGGGAAGCCCAATGGAACTGGGAGGTTAGTCACATACAGGAGGACTGAGGAACGGAGTGTCTTCACTGAACCTAGTGGGAGCCAGGTTTCTCTCTCAAGTGAGAACTCCAAGAAGGAAGAAGCTGGATTAAACCCTGCAGTGTTTAAACTGGAATGGGTGTTCAATCTATACTTACATGTACTAACATATCTATGGTAAGTTTCTGAGACCCGTCTACTGAGAGGGCCTGGGAGCAGTGACACTGCAGTGGCAACGAGCGTATCTTTGTTTCTATATACCATTCTCCACTAAGAGCAGTCAGCGTTCCTCGGGTAAAAGGTGACTCAATGGCTGGTACAGGCAAAGCACAAAAGTGAGTCTGGAACATCTTATGATTGGGACATGACAAATGGACACACAAGTCAGACTACAGAGGATCTTGCTGCCCAAATATGGAAACGATCTGAACATCAAAACAAATAATGAGAATGACAAATCATCTCACACTGAATACAGTCTATGAGTTCACAAAGATAGAAAAAAAGAGAAAGCTCTTCCTTACAGTAAGAAGCCAACTAAGAGGAAGAAATAACAGGATTCGAAAATCACCATTTGGCAACCACAAACACACCACACCAATGATAAGAGCAGGCCAAAGTATCAAAGGACGCTAAAGATGGTGGTAAAAGTTGTAGTAATGATGGTATATTTACCTAATCCAAAAGTAAATCCCCATCCACTAATAATTAAAGGGGAAACAGTAACTTTTCATTCTAAAAATCTAGTGAAAACCACCTTACTCAATGGTCAAAGCTAACTTCACCAGTCATGAGCCAAAACAAACATCATGTCCCACTTGAGATATAGACAGAAGAGCATAGCGTCACTTCTGTAATAGTTCTACCAAAAACCTACATAATGTAAACTAATTATGACAAAAGATTAAATGGCACTTCAAATCTAGTGACATTCTCAGACTGGTCGATTAAAAAAAAAAAAACAACAAAAACCAAAAAATATTAAGGTCATGAGCTCAAGAAGTAGGCAACTTGCAAAGTGAAGGACACTGAAGAGGTAACAGTTAAGTGCAACACCTGATTCTGAAACTAATCCTGGTGCTTTGGGGAATGTTGACAAAACTTTGGGGTCTAGGGATGAAGAGGACACGTCATTTCTTAGTACTATTCTCATAGTCCCACAACTTCACTACATGTAAAACTGCTAAAAAGCATGGTAACAACCTTACCTCCATCATCAAAAAGCCACCAGACATCAATAGTATTCTTTCCTTGTTTTTTCTGAAACTGTGTACTAGCTTCAAGAAGCTTTTGGTCAGCTACATTTAAGGGCACAGCAGGGCCTTTGGATTCTAAAGGATGAAGCAGAAAAATAACATGTAAGGGAGATAAATATTCAAGTCTCTTTTGCTGAATTCCTATAATTTCCTAACTCTTGTATATTTAAATGTTTATAATGCAGACAGTTGTATATGGCAACCATCATAAGCTTTCAGTGGTTTATAATTTAAATGTACTTTTGAAAGACGTTCACAGATAAATACATCTTTACAACAGCTTAACTCATCCAAATTATCTTGCCTAATTTCTAATATTTTGAAGCATTCTTAATAAAAGAGAAGCATGAATACCAATACCAATCAAGAATATTATAATTGACTGAGATTTTTGAGAAATTGTTTTACGCTAACTGGACAAATGAGGCTTATGCCTATTCCATGAACGTATCACTTTTGTAATCTTTTTCCTCAGTAATTTAAAGATCAAAAAATTATTTTACATAAAATGTCATCATTAATATAAGATCAAAAAATTATTTTACATAAAATGCCATCATTAATATAAAAGACAGAGGGGAGTGGAAGACGAATGAATACAATCTAACAATTATCACAGTGAAACCTCTGAGTCTAAGGAAGAACACCCTCATCTTTACCTAACTTGACCCCTTGGTTTGTGATGCAAAAAGCTAAAGCCATATAACCGCACATCTTTCTCTGAGGCACAGAAAGATGGTAGAACTCCTTGGAGGGCACCACGTGCTGCAGATCTAAAGAGCAATATACCAAGGAAGTTCCCATATTCCCAGGAATTAAAAACTCAAAAACTTAAAAAAAAAACAAAAAACAACTCAGCACTGACTCTATGAGCAAGCAAATGACTATTATGAGACTCCTACAGCAAATTTTTAAAAGCAGGAATCCACAGGAGGAAATCTGATCGTTTCTGCAGGATGTCTGTCATTCACTTCTCATGCTGCCATGATACACGCAAACATGACGAATGATTGTGCATGATGACATAATATGGCTGCCAAACCACACTGCTCCGTAACTCTCACCTCTATCTCCTTCTCATAAAAGTCATGCCCGGGGACATGACTGTGTATCTCCCAAACGCAGCAGGGCTGTGAGAAATATTGTAATTTTTGAAATGAAAAATATATTAGTATCAAAATTAAGGGCTTGGCTTGGTACACCTGATGGTAAAGAATGCAAGTGACACTGGCAAAGAGACCCATTTCAGTGTCTCTGTTTAGCACCTAAACCATGCAGTTTAAAATAAGAAACTGGTATTGACAGTCAAGGTTTGAGTATTTCAGAAATGCTATGATGATTTAAAATAATTTGCCTTTGATATACTCCCTTTCCCTGGGATGACTTATACTTTTTAGTTGGACTAAAGATAATGTTTCTAATCTGCATTCAATAAATAACTGTAGCATCACCTTGCCATGGAAATAAAAACTAAGGTAAAAAAAGAAAATAGCAAAGTTGGAATTAAAGAGTTAACAGTATGAAAAAGGGGATTAAAACAAAATGATGAAAAATGCCTGCCTTTTTTCAACAGTGGTTGAGTTGGAGTCTTGCCATCCTCTTCCTCATCTAGATTATGTTTAAAAAACACAAAATATAAGTTAATTGTCTTTATATTAATAATGAAAATGTAAATAGAGCACATTTATAAACAGAGCATAGTATGATGAGACAGTCTGTGAAAAATAATCAAGACTGAAAATAGATATCTTCTACACTGAGTGTTGAGGAGTTTTAAAAGCAAACATATTTTAGACCCCTCCAACAGGGCTACTGATGAACGCTCACCCCTACAATGTATTCCTGTAAAACTGACAAAAACTGGAACACGATTTTTAAACTTGTAAATGTTCATACTTGAAATCAGTTGAAAAGAATTTCAACTATGGCTTATAGAATTGAAATAGGACGTTAAAAACTGACACTGCAGATAACACATGAATTTTAAACACTGCCACTGCATCACTGGGCAAATGACTGAAAAGTTACTTTTAGAAACGTTTAATGGATATCCGGTCCTTGTAAAAACTAATCACCACTTGAAACAGGAAGGAATGTGATCAGAGACAGAGTCTTTTGGTTTATATAAAATACTATTTATACATATATACATCAATTGATATATAAAACATAAGCATATATATACATGTATATATGTTTGTATGCATGTACTGGTCCATCTGTATTTAGGTATCTTTAAGTATTTTCTTGGGGTTAACAGTTTTGCTAATCTCAGGTTCTTCTTCAGATAAGCTTATGTGAGGTGTCTGAGGCATGTAAAATTCCAGACCAGGACAGGGAAGAGTACACTGCTCTGGAGTCCAGTGGCTCCCAGGATTCCAGGATTCCCTCTAACGCTTCTCCTGGCTGCGTCAGCTTGAAATGGTTAGTTAACTCCTCACTTTCCTTGTTAGTAAAAGGGTGAAAAATACATACCTCTTCAGATCATTATGCTGCAAGCATTAAAGCCCTTAGCTCAGTGCCTAGCACAAAGTAAGTATTCAAAGGGCACTCTTTCTGGCCCCTTGCATGCTGTGTGCCACAGTAACCAAGAAAGACATACCGAACACCTATAATTATACGGTGACTACACAAGAATGTTTCTAATTCTGAACACCTTTATTTTTTTTTTATTTTTATTTTTTTTTTCCAACGTTTATTCATTTTTGGGACAGAGAGAGACAGAGCATGAATGGGGGAGGGGCAGAGAGAGAGGGAGACACAGAATCGGAAACAGGCTCCAGGCTCTGAGCCATCAGCCCAGAGCCCGACGCGGGGCTCGAACTCACGGACCGCGAGATCGTGACCTGGATGAAGTCGGACGCTTAACCGACTGCGCCACCCAGGCGCCCCTGAACACCTTTAAATTATATAAACTTTTCTATAGTTTCTATGTTAATTTTGAAAATAACTGGCTACATAGAAAATAAACAAAATAAAATTAATGCTATTTTTGAATGCTAATTTCTTATGCCTCTTAGGGAACATTTCAATTATTACATTTAATTTTATAGGATTATGTATTATTCTTATAAAGTAGATATTTGATACTGTCTTTGATGATAGTAAAAATAACAATTATAAATATAAATGCGGACATTGTGTATTTATTTCAGAGAGCTCAAAAAATGTTAAGGAAATCCTGACACTTAAAAAATAATTTACACTAAGATATTTAAAGGTATCTGAAGGTAATAAAGCTATTGACATTTTCAAAATAAAAAGGTGAGCAGGTATGTACTCACCCCAGGTTCCTACTCTAAAAATAATGACTTCCCAAGACTGTGGCACACAGTAATGAGCTAATGTGTAGAAAACACCTACTGCAATGTGAAAGGCACAGAGTAGATGCTTGATGACTATTACTTCTTCCTTTCCCATCATAGTTTTACCTATCAATTCCTAACAGATTCGGTAAAGAAAGGATCGGTTTTAGGAAAAAGAAAATGATAACAAAAATAAAAAGAGAAAATGAGAGCATGTATACCATAAACTAAAAGTAAATGCAGGAACATTAAAAGCAGTTTTAGCACCTTTCATCGAGTTTTGAGATGAAACAGGAAACAAATTATAATCAAGCCAGCAAAGAACTTAAAGGGAAAATGGGTCTCAACTAAAGCCTCAACTACCACTACTCTGAGCAGCCAATGTAACTAAGGAGCAAAGAAATATTAAGTAACAGCAGTGCTTCTACGTAATCTGGGAAAGATCGATTTCACAGTGACAGGATTTGTCCAAAGTGATCAATTCCAGAAAAAGAATGGTAATTGTTTGATAGGAATCAAAAAAGCATGATATGGTTTGATGATTTACAGTGCAGATTTTTCTTGTTGCGTGCCAGCTGGGACCAGGACAGATGGAGATACTGACTGAACAGAGGTAGGAGAGTGAGGGCGGGAGAGTAAGATTTGGAAGTCATCCCTCTTTCCGTCTTGTAAACATGACACAGATTTATGGATGAAATTATCTCAGCATCTCAGAAGATTTGGAGATCTTTGTGTGGCCTGAACCACATGGGCCACCAGGGGTAGTAGGTGTGCAATTATGGCCAAACAGTTCAGTAACCAAACACCAATAGCATGTTCCTTCAGAGACTAAGTGAGGAATACAACTGCATGTGATTTTTTATTACATGGTTTTACCTCAACAACTCCAGGTGCAGTAGATGTAAAAAGTATTCTAAATATGTCAGCACATAAACAAAATCCCTGGTATTTCAATATCTTGATTTACAAAAAAATTATGTAGATTTGTGGTCAACTTCATTTCTTCCAGGGTTATCTTATGCTCTATCACATTACTCTAAAATTACCATATTACTTTCCAAGTTCAGATTTAACCTAGGCTTTAAATTAAATTGTTTCATTTAAAGCATATATAAAAATATACAAGCAGGTATTAGTGTAGTGTATAATTAATTGGCATGGCTTCTGTTCTATGATTGACTTTAGTATTTTAAAAATAGCTAATCATGTTGTAGCCATCCATTTTACCTCATCTACTAGAAATGAACAGTACAAATGAGAGAATGGGTTACTTAATAAGACATGTTATAAAATAAAAACCATTTCTCCCCAAATTAAACATTACCATTAATAACATTTCTTGTCTGAATAAAAATTACCTTTGTGTGTAACACTTTTCTCATCGGATGGCTTGGAGGTATCTAAATCCGATTTTTTACTGTACTCCATACTTAGTACCACATCCTTGACACCGGGAGATTTCTCTTGTGAAGACAATAATTCTTCTATGGACATGAAAGTAATCAAATTTTTATCTAAATCTTATTTTAACCATTAATGAAAGCACCATGGTATACTGATTAAATAACAGTTCACAGCACAGTTTAGGAAGAAATAGTAAGTTTACAGTACATGATTTCTTAGGTAAACAAATGTGATAATCTGTTTTGAAAGAACTATTCACTCAAATATCTTGAGCCACGGCTAAGTATCAGACATGTGAATTAGGCGCTGAGGAATTAGTAATGAGTGGGATTCAAAGAACATAAAAGTGTGACAGACAAAAGAATAGTGTATAGAATGTGAATAAATTCTAGTCTCAAAGTCATTTACACATGTAAAAATTGTAAAATGTGACAAATGTTCACATACGTGTAAGATGACAAACAATGCTGAAAAATTATACCCCTGACTATAGAGACAAAACCAGGACATCAACTCAGGGTAGAGTACCAGTTTTTCATTTTTAAAGCACTTTCTCCATTTTGTATCTTTTGAGAAGTAGTTAGTAAACAGTTAACTTCCACCATGAAAACATGCGACACGAAGACAAATGTCATAAGAAACTGATCGGTGACAGATAATCCTCATCACTGATTTGTGTGTATGATGAGAAATAACAAGGGAAACGACTATGCTAAGAACTTCACAGACATTTCTTTACAACAACCCTATGAAATAATCCCGTTTTTTAAATTTTAATGTTTTATTTAAGTATCTCTACACCCAACGTGGGGCTAGAACTCATAACCCCAAGATCAAGAGTCTCAGGCTCTTCTGACTGAGCCAGCCCAAGCACCCCAATAATTATGTTTTAAGATATGAGGAAACTGAAGCTGGGAAGTCAGCAAATTTGCCCAGGCTACAGAGCTATGTACTAAGAGAAAAAGCTGGGATTTTCAAAGGAGATCTGACTCCAAAGCCTGTGCTCTTGATCCTGTGCTGATCCAAATTCCTGTGTCCAAATCCTGATGACGAATAACAAGACCTTCGAAACAATTTTCCTAATTGAAACACATGAAAATGTTTTCTTAAAGTTCTAGTCAGATTCAAATCACAGTGGATTACACAACTATATATGTAATTGATTAGTCAAATTGTCATACTTTTGAGAGTGACAGGGAACACAACTAATTGTGCAGTTAACAGGTACCCTAAACCTCAATTGCTGGCAGCTCACGAGAGAACTGAAACAGTATTTTGCAAGGCCTACTCCGGAGTAAGAAAATGCATTTTCAGCAAGCCATACTTTTGTGTTCCATGGATAAAGACCTCAAAGCGTTCCTTTCAAAACTGCACAATACCCTTAAAATGGTGGGAGGAGGGGGAGGATTACAACTGTTTAAATATATAAACAGGTGACAAAAGTTCATGATGTGCCTCTCAGCTATTTAGGCTTAGCTATTTTTGATGATTTAGTTAATTAATTGATAAGGGTGAAATATTAGGTATGCAATTTCTTAAACTTATAATATTTGTTAAACTACCAGGAAATCATCAAAGGGTACAGAATTTCCCAGTTTTTATTAAGGTGGCAAAAGTAATCAGTATACCTTAGTTAGGTTTAAAGTTTCATCTAAAAACATTTTTTTTGAATGCTTTAAAAATTACAGAGTTGGAGAGGAGATTAGTGGGTATCAGGGGTTAATGATGGGGGAGAGAGGAAGGGCATGGTGGGGGCATAAAGGAGTAGCACAAGAGAGATTTTTGCGGCCATCGAACAGTTTTGTATCTTGATTATGGTGCTGGTTATATGGATCAACCGCATGTGATACACGGCACAGAACTATACACATGTTCATGAGCACACACACACAAGTGTTAAGTAGAACTGGTGAAATCTGAATAAGGTGGGTAAATGGTCACAATGTCAGTTTCCTGGTTATGACGTATAATGATAGATATTCAATATGTTACCACTGGGAGCAATGGATGAAGGGTACAGCGGACCTCTCTATTATTTCTTTTGTTACTTATTATGGATCTATAATCATTTCAAAATGAAAAAGTTATGAAAAATGACTTATAGGGTCTTTTCTGAAGACACAGAAAATGACATTACCAAGTTCAGTTTTCATTATTAATATACCTGTGTGTGAAAAAAGTATGACCTTCATAAACATGAAAATGATGATTTAGCAGTCATTAACATTTTTTTCTCTATAGTATTTATCATGTATTTTTATAAATTTGGCCAATCTAAAACCATAACTCATGCTTATTTCTCTTAAACTTATGATTTACGCTGAATTTTATTCTCTCCATTAATAATCACCAGCCATCATCCAGGTTGGTGCCAACTCTGAAAAGATGGTGGAGCTGAAAAGATCTCACTTCCAAATGCCATACAGTAAGTAAATGACACAAAACAGATAGTAAATGTTAAAGTTATTGAAGAATCTGTGAGAATGACATAGAACTAACATAGTCATTTATATTTTTAAAGTAAAACATTTATTCAAGCAAGACTTACCTTGTGCTTGAAGATGAGATATATCCAGACCCTCTTTTAGGCGGATAACCACTACTCCATATTGTATGTCAAAGGCGTCACTATAATGGGGGTGGGGGGAGAATCAAAATCACAAAAATGTTAGTGTCCTCCTCTATAAAATATAGGCAGTAAGAGATGATTTCTAAAACACCTTCAGCTTTAAATGTCTTATTTCTAACATATGCTTTTAAAAATACAGTGAGACCCATATAATGTCTGCTTCAAATTCTATACCATTCCCTTTCCTTTCTTCTATAATACTCTTAAAAATGAGTTAAGTGTACATCTTTATAGTCTTGACACTCTACCTACACCAGACATTTAAAGCATGCCTGTACTCCTATCCTATCTGAAACAAACTAAAATTACGGAAAAATAACATTCAATATTCCCACCATACTTAATTTAGGCTTACACCCTTAAAGCTATGAGACATATAAGAAGACAAAGCAAAGTGATTCCACTGAGAAAGAGAATAGGGTGTAGAATATAAAGGAATGACTTCTGAAAGAAACCAGAGTATTTTTAAGTAATTCTCACATTTTTACAAAAATGTTTAAAAAGGTAATACAAAGATTTTATATGCATTTGTAGACATGCGTTCATATGTCAAGTCTTTTAAACACAAATGGGATCATCCTATAACACATGCAAAATATATTAAAACCTCAAAGACAACTCTAAAACCAGACTTCAATTCTGGAAACTTTATGTTGAGACCATGAATCATGTGGATTCAAGTTTTTCTCAAATCTACTGAAAGAATTACAAATTCCTAAACTTTGGGTCATTCCCGGAGTGTAACAGGCTTGAGTTTTATATTTCGTTATTATTTTTAATTATGAAGCAACCAATATTCATTATACTCAAAAAATTACATTCAACCTAGTTCTATGTAACCAAAAGAAAGGGCTAAAATGCTAAAAAAAAAAAAAAAAAAAAAAAAAAAAAAAAAAAAAAAAAAAAAAAAAAAAAAAAAAAAAAAAAAAATCAAATTTTTGTTCCCACAGACACAAGAATACCTATCACTGTAAGAGATGTTTTATTGGTTTATTGATGTTTTTTGTTTTTGTTTTTGTTTTAAATCATGGGGAGACAATTTTGGCTTCATTCCTATGATGAATTAGCTAAGGTCTGAAGAGATTCATCGGAAAATTAATGGACACAGTAACCTTCCTCAGCTGTATCCTGAAAGACCTAACGCTAGAGAAGAGTAACTACAAGTATTTGAAAAAATAGTTAATAAATCACAAATGACTTAAAATCAAGGTCCTTAAAGAAAAGGCAGTGAATACAGCTTCCCAAGTTTACCGTGGAATAAAGTAGCTAAATATTTTTGCTATAAACAAAGAAATTTCTCTAAGCTACAATTTGATTTGGAGTTTTAGTCTCTCCATGCTGTTACTAGGCATAGTAAATTAAGTAAACCTCAAGTGCTCAAAGTATTTATAATCAGAACCAAAACTTAAATGTCACAAGATAAAAGCATAAGCAGTATCACTGCTTTGAAACTGACATCAATTTCTATGGCTCTGGAAACCAGAAAGCATCATTTTGCCTCTCTTTTAATTGCTGCCTGCTGTTTAATACTTAGAGTAATACTTGACTCTCAGAGCAAACATTCACTTCAAGTTCCTACAAGGTCAAAGTCAGAAAGACTCCTTTCTTTTCAGTGTTTCCATATGAGCAACTACAACTAACAGTGGAAGAATTCTTTGTAAAAATGTCACTTTTTCTACATTTTAGGATAATTATTCCATCTCACTGTTCTTGCATCTTCAGAAAAGAGCACAGTCCACGTCAGATGGCCCACATGATTTAAACGTTCACACTGTCCTTCCTTTCCTAGTCCTCACATATGCAAAGTGCATAGGACAGAATTAGAAACGTAGGATGAAACCCCAAAGCTAAAGAGCAACCATAGTAGGTCAAAAATCAAAAAAGCTTTAATTTTACTAAAAGCATTTAATAATTACTTGGGAAAACTTATTCATTCTATACTTTCCTAATCAATATGAAGAGATTTTTAAAAAAGTATAACATCTGGTTACTCCCTCAAATAGATTTCAAGGTAGCTATGGACACAAAATTATCATATGTGATCCAGGTAAGTACTTATGGCTCCAACAGGAGTTCCAGTAAGGGAAATAACTCTACTTAGTTAAGGATAATCAGATCAAAATTCAGAGAAATAAGATTTGAACCTGGTCATAGAGCTACTTTGCCAAACACATTTTTTTTTAAAAAAGCACAATTGTATGTAAAGAAAAACAAGATATGAAAGAATGAACAGTTTTGTTTCATCAGTATCTATAATAAGAAGAAATTATTCTTCAACCAAGGATTGTGGTGTGGGGCACCTGGTTGCCTCAGCTTGGGACTCCTGATCTTATGGTTATGAGTTCGAGCCCCATGTTGGGTGTAGAGATTACTTAAAAAAAAAAAAAAAACCCAAAAAACAAAAAACAAAAAAAAGAATGGTGGTGTGATGGACTCCTAAGTATGGAGAACAGAGGGGAGTTGGTGGAGGGATGGAAAAAAATAGGTGATGGGGATTAAGAGTACACTTATCATGATTGGCACTGAGTATTGCAGAGAATTGTTGAATCACAATATTATACACCTGAAACTAATGTAACACTAAATGTTACCACTGGAATTAAAATAAAAAAACTTAAAAATATAATGGTAGCGGCGCCTGGGTGGCTCAGTCGGTTAAGCATCCGACTTTGGCTCAGGTCACAATCTCACGTCTCTTGAGTTCAAGCCTCATGTCAGGCTCTGTACTGACATCTTGAAGCCTGGAGCCTGCTTTGGATTCTGTTTCTCCCTTTCTGACCCTCCTCCACTTGTACTCTCTCTCTCTTTCTCTTTCTCAAAAAGAAATAACATTTAAAGAAAATTAAAAAAAAACCCACACAATGGTAGTGTGAAAGGGAATCCTTATCCTCTATAAAACAGTACAAATGAGATAAAGGGACCTGTTAAGCAAACCCAGAATACTAGGAAAAGGAAGTATTTCAAAATTAAGAAGAAAATTGCCAAAAATAACAAGTTTTATTCTTTTTATTAAATAACTCACTTAGTTCCAACAAGCATTTGTGGTGGATTAAACAGATACATTCATAAAAATCAACTATAACATAAACCAGCTCAAGTCAGAAAGACAAAGTAACAAAAAAATAAAAAGAATGTACCAGACAATCCATAGAAGGGAAGATGAAGTAATGTTAAACCAACATAAGCTGTCTGATAAATATCATTCATTTAAATTACACCAAGAAGTGAATTATAGACTCAAAATCTACACTTCACAAACAGGTTGAAAATCAAAGCATGTAAGTACACTTAAAAAGTGTAAATGACTGGGGCGCCTGGCTGGCTCAGTCCGTTAAGCGTCCAACTTCGGCTCAGGTCACGATCTCACAGTTGGAGAGTTCGAGCCCTGCATTGGGCTCTGTGCTGAGCCTCCTTCAGAGTAGGTGTCTCCCTTTCTCCCTGCCCCTCCCCCACTGTCTCACTCTCTCTCAAAAATGAACATTAAAAAAATTTTATTAAAAAAAATGCAAATCACCTAATGCATAAATAAAGTAATAACATGTAAATCAGTGTGAGAGAATAAACCTAACCATCTGAAGGGTGATATAAATGATGAAATGCCCTCCTCAGCACCAGATACTATAATGACAGAACACAAGGTGAGAGGTCTGACATTCGGGAAATCTGCTCAGCAACAGCTATAAGGATACCCCAACTCTTCCTAACTTGAATCAGAAGCTAGAGTATATATGTGCTCACTTGAACACGTGTGTGAATGTTCAAATGTATTGAGAGAGACAGAAACATCAATCAAAACATTTTGTGAATAGCTCGTCAAGTGACAACCCAGATAACCGCATGTGATTCTTTTCATTCTTAGGCTTCTACGAGAAGAGAGCGTATCAAGAAAACAGGCTTTGAAAACCAGTGCAAGTTTTCATTTTCTGAACCAAGTTCCTGGATTAAAAGGATACTTACTGAAATATGTTTATGTACATATCCACATCTCTCATATCTGCTTGCAACCAATCTTTCTTAAATCCAAGGACAAGTGTGTTTGGTTTCATACGCCCAAGACCAGCAGCCTAAAACAAAGGAAAAACACAACTTTCAATACATACTATTCAGCAAAATATTTTATAAAGGATCAAATCCTCCAAATAGGCGGGCTATAAACATTTATTTTTTTATTTTTATTCTTTTAATATTTATTTGAGAGTGTACATATGTGCTCTCTCTCAAAATAAATTTAAAGATTAATTTTAATCTTTATTTAAAGATTAATCTATTGAAAGATTAACAATTAAATCTTAATTTCAAGATTAAATTAATCCAAGTATATATTACGTGATCATGTGCCAGACACTGTCCATATGATTTGGGATAGTTAGCAATATCCTAACCATATAAAACTTAAAATCTTTCTCAAAATGTTCTCTCCATGCACAAATTTCTTTCAAAAAAGAATCTCTATCCCACTAGATATTAAAAACAACTCTTTAGGGGCGCCTGGGTGGCGCAGTCGGTTAAG